GATCGGTCCGGATGGAATCCGGGTCGGGTTTCGCCACAAAGATACAGCGATTCGACCACTTCCTTTCAATGGACATCAGAAAGGGATATCGGCACTTTCGCCTCGCGCCGCAGATGAGGGATTGGTTCATCTTCCACTATGCCGGGAGGTATTATCAGTGCGTGGCTCTGCCATTTGGATGGGGAAGATCTCCTCTCTGATTCACCCAGTTGATGGCGCCCTTTGTCAAAGAATTGAGGCGTTCAGGACTCCGTGTACTGGCATATCTGGACGACTTTCTATTGGTTCCCACGACATTGGGTATCGTGTCCAGGCACGAAGATTGTCTCCGGGCGGCCAAGTTCGTGGACGCTCTAATGCTCCGACTCGGTCTCACACGGCACCCGACGAAAGGGGAGTGGAAGGGCAGTCAAGTTATCGAGCACCTTGGAATGGTGCTCGACAGTCGGAGCATGCGTTTCTTTATCGCTCCTCGAAAGTTAGAGCGCGTAAAGAAGCTGGCGGGAAAGCTGCTTCGCAAAGTTCAGCAAGGGCGACGGTGGGTTGGCAAGAAAGGGTTGGCACACTTTTGTGGTGTGTGTGTCTCACTTACCGTAGCCATGCCTTGGGCACGGTTTTACACACGTTCTTTATACTGGGACATGTCTGTGTCTCGACAGAGAGATGCCCGGGGGCGAGTGCGCCTCAGTCATCAGAGCATTCGAGATCTGCTCAAATGGCAGGATTTGGCGAAAGGGGAGCTGGCTGGGAGGCCAATGGTACCTCCCGAACCACTGGCGGCGTTGCATACGGATGCGGCCGACGTGGGGTATGGGGGACGCTCAACGTGGAGAACCTCAGCCCTGGTGTGGACGGACCTTGGCGTGCACAAAGTATATGGAGCTGGAAGGACAGAGCGGAAAGCATCAGCTACCGCGAACTGAAAGCAATCCGAATGTTGCTGTTTGGTCCCCTAGGAAAGCAACTTGTGGCGTCGGGAAAACGAAGCTTGCTTTTGCACATCGACAACCAGCCTGTCGTCCACATCGCCAACGCACTTGTCTCGGCCAGTCGTCCAATGATGCGCGAGCTACGGCGGCTCAAGGCGGTGTTGGATCATCACGGTATCCAGATAAGAGCAGATTGGATCCCGTCCGTGGCCAACAAGTTCGCAGATGGCCTATCGCGACGCTTCCCCACCGGCGACCTGCAGATAAGGCGGCAGCTGCGGCGTTCCGTGCAGGCTGGGATGAGAGCGCCGTTAGACGTCTTCTCGTATCGCCCCGTCGGGGAACATCCCGTGTTCCTTCGACGCCAAGCCTTCGCCGAGCTAGCCGCAGACTGGGACAAGGGCGAAGTTCGCTTGCTTTGCCCACGGGTGGACCTGATCTCGCCCACGGTACACAAGCTGAGGCAGACGGGCGCCCCAGCGATCTTGCTGATTCCGGAGTGGCCACGGCAGGCCTGGCACGCAGCAGCACTCCAACTGGCGACACGGACGGAGGTCCTGGAGACGCTGCCGGAGGCGATCTGGGCGACTCACCGCCGCCTGAACCCCCGCTGGCGACTACGGCTGTTGGAGATCAACCTCGCGTAAGCGTCAGAGCGGCTGCCCGGATGGCTTTAGCGGATGCAGCTGTGCAGCGTACTTGCAAGCTGGCACCGACACTCGGTGGTCTCATGTCAGCACGTTGCTCAACGAGTTTTCCTGGAGTTCACGGACTGCGTCTACTAGAAACTCGCAACGGGCGGCATGGATAGAGTTTTGTGGCGCTGAAGACCGTGCTCCGCTTCCTGTGACAGAAGCGCATATGGTCGGCTTCGTGGGTTGGCTCGCGCTCGAGCGGCGGGCTGGGCGACGTCGTGTTGGCAGTTCCTCTCTCCCACAGTATTTTTCGGCCGTTCGTCAAATGCAGTTGCTACTCACAGGTGTCCCCGTGCCGTCCTACCCGTTCTTGGAACATGTGCGAAGAGGGTATTGCAAGTGGGAGGAGGCAAATTTTCCGCAGGAGGCTGTCCGATGTGGCATTGACGCCACCATCGCGCAGAAGATATGGGGATTGGGTATGACGACTACTAATCCCTCGCTTCTCCGCGATTCAGCAATGTGCGTTTTTGCGTATTGTATGAATGGCCTCCGCGAGAGTTCCGTGACTTCCATTGTCGCCCCCGATGTTAAGGTCGCCGATTTTGAGATGCGCGCGCGATTGTCTGTTGTTAAGGGGCAAAACACCAGTCAGGTTCCGCTCGTTCGCTATTCACGCCTCTCTGACCTCGCTTCTCCTTTGGACCTCTGGATTCGATGGTCACATGCACGGGGCCATCACAAGCGGTTCTTCGCTCTGGACGGCGAAGCAGCGATTGCCAGCAGACAGGCTCTCACACGCGCATTGCAGAGCCGTCTGCAATTTTTGGGCATCTCCCCGCCGGCTGGGGGTAAATACACGTCACATTCGCTTCGTATTGGTTCGCATACGCAGCAGGTTCTGCTCGGTTTTGTGTTGGAAGTCTGGTTAGCCCGCTTTGGGTGGGGCCCGCGCAGCCAAGAAATGGCCGCGCTCTACTTTGACCGCACAATCAAGGTTTCGGCCGCGTCCTTCTGGTTGTTCGGTGGGCCCGCTGGCGTCAGTCCCCCTGCTTCCCCCACTCTCGCTTAGGCTCGGCGGCCGTTTCGCTTCTCGTCCCCTGTGTGTTCTGGTCTGCTCCGGGTGATCTTCAGCGCAGGCGGTGGTATCCGTGGGGTTTCGTCTTGTGTAGACGTATGTTTATGCTGATGAAACGACATCTCATTGGATAGCGAGGATTGCCAGTCGCGATCTGGAATAACACGATGCCTACGATTGACCCGGATTGGATCTGAATCTGGATCAGCAGCGCCGCCGCCGTCGCCGCTGTACATTCCGCCTACTGTACAAAGCGGTCGACATCCTGCACACTGGTTGGTGCTGGGTATGCCTCTCTCTTTCCCGCCCGCCCTTCTTACCGACTCATACCTCTCTCTTTGATTGTGCTGAAACTTGCTTTACAGTGCGATCAGGTTTTGGGGTTTACAAGTTCCGATTTCGGCCCCGCCGTACCGGCCGCCGGTACGGCGGGTGTTAAAGGGGGGCAGGGGTTCGAAAAGATGGGGGGCAATGGGGAGCTCCAGTCCCCGAGTTCGAAGCGTGCGCCTGCGAACTTTCATTTTGCCATTTTCTTCATTTTACCGTTTCCTTTCTTTGTAGTCACTACTGTAGTCGAACGGGTAACCGGCGTATCCGGGTGTATCCACTACTGTAGCTTGTTCTCTTCCGCTAGCCTGCCCCGGGGTCGGTTAGTGGCACGATCGCACGTAAAGATTGTCGTTTCATTCAGGAGAAACATCTGGGTAAGGATTATCATGTAGTAACGCAAGTGAACGCAATTGTAACGCAGGTGAACGCAATTTCTAGATGTAAAAAACAGAGACGGTTGGCAGAAAACGGCGCGCTAACGCCGCGAGGAGCGGGAGGGCTGGTGCTGAGAAACGGATGACTGCGGAAGGGCCTCGTCGTTGACCAGCACTGCCACCACCCCTTGATAAACTACTTGTACGAGAAGCGACAGCGGGCGCGTGAGACTAGAAGTCACGAGGGTGACGTCGATGACCTGTCACCGTGGTGTCAGCGAGAGCGGCCGTGAGGGGCATTACACTGTGATCAAATGATACATATCCGTAATATAGGTCCCGCGCAGAGTCCATTTGCCAAGTAGGCGAGACTGCCCGTGACGTACCAGTGACGCAGGTCACGGGACGTCACTGAAGGGCAGCAGGGGGCGCAACGCGCCCAAAAAAGAACCGTGCCGCCGGTGCAACCGGCATTAATGCGTGTAGGTAATGCTTATGCACCACCTCAGACGAGCTGTGGTTGGAGATCCGCATGATGGTGTCCAGCCGCACCCCCGCGGCATAGGCGGCAGATATCCCGCCGCTGCGGAGCGAGCGGGCGGTGAAGCAGGTGCCTGCGGGGGGTCGGATGCTCGCAACGAGGGCGTCGAGGGAGGCCCGCAGCGTGGCGGCGGTGAGTGGAGCGCGTTTCTGCGGGTACCTTGGGAACAGGTAGGAGCTTGGCGACGGGGCAGCGGAAACGAGCTTGAACAGAAGCTGGTAGACGCGGTCAGCAGAGGAAGAGACAGGGATGCGTAGGGCGATGCGGGGCGATGCGCCCTGTCCCGAAAACTTGAAGTGGACCATCTGCACAGTCACTTCTCCAGAGCTGAACTCAACGTCCCGCCGACGAAGTAGGCGTATGCTTGTCGGTCGACAGCAGATTAAAAATCGGAGGGCTACAATTCCCCACTTCTGTAGACGGCGGACGTTGGAGGTCTCTAGCGCCAGCGTCATTGCTCGTAGCGCACAGTCCGCCGGAAGAGGTGCGGAGCGCTTCGGGGGACCACCGGAGCGGGCCGCGTCGTTCGACAGGTACCCCTGGCGAGTAGCGCAGACAAGAGGATCTTTGGTTGGGTCTTGATAGCCATAGCGGCGGTGTTGCGAGCCTATGGCCTCTACGTACGGTCGGATGGAGCCGCCCAGCACTGTACCCTTGCCATAAAGATGTCCGAGATAGCACGCCACAGTGACCGGGGTGGCAGGGAGCGCAGAGACCCCATCGCCGTCGCAGAAAGCAGTAAACGCCTCCCAATGATGCTGGTCGGAGGGAAAGATCGTCGCGCGTGACAATCTTTCCCTCCGAACCGGAAGAACCACTCAATCACCTCATGAGTACTGCTATCTCCGGTACCCATGATCTTGAGGGTGTAAAGATCTATGGAGTGGGATTCCTCGATGTGTGCATCCACTCCATAGTATAACCCGTTCTTCCAGAGGACAATTTCGGAGATGTCCCACTCTTGATCCGCCATGGTGTTGTGACGGCTTGTATCATTGACGGAATTTGTCAGCCCCAGGCGTGCCAAGTCGTCGATGGAAAACTCACAGTATTCTTTACGGATGCACAACTCGGGGATATGGTGCCGTAGGAGTGCTTCGAACTCTGCGCATGTTACATCGAACCTTCTGTGCCCGATTTCAACCCATATATAGTAGTTATTGGGACAGACGGACGCAGCGCTTGACTTTGAGACTTCAATGATATATCAGCCCTTGATGATAACTGGAACAGGAGACGATCACGGAGGTCTCGTTGATGCCTAGTAAGCCGGGCGGTCTTCAGAGCTAGTTGCTTGCGTGGTGCCGTCCCGCCCGAACTCCATCTCGCTGTCTGCTTTGTCTTAGCCATGGCGGCACGAAGGGAAGTGACCAAGAAGCGCGCGCGGGGGCTAAAACCTCACGTACGCGCGACACACCTGGCCTGGCCGATTGATGATCTGTTGCGCAGACGACGGAGGCAGACTAAGAACGACGCGGGTCGTCGTAGAAGGAGCCGCGGAGTAAAGATGCGGCGAGTCGACGAAGAAGGGGCCCCGAGTTAATGAATGAGGCGTGCTGGAGAGGAGACAAGCCGGCGGGGTGGAAGCAGAAGGGGTGACAACTCGGAGAAGCGAGACACGAGAGGCAGCTTAACCCTCTATGTAGGACATGGAATAGCAAAATTTTCAAAATTGATCACGACACTCTCTGCCCGGTTGCAACCCAACCTAGTCGTCTGATGAGTTTTTCGACCACGGTAAACGGAAGAGCGGACTGCAATCTAACATTTGAAATGGAGGCGGCTTAAAAGTAAGTGTTACAACTCAAGATATTGCTCCTTGAAGATTGCTCTCGTAACAGCCTTTCAGAGTCCAAAACGTCCAATATTTTAGGAAGAAACTGGAAATAAGCTATTCCATGTATGCGGTTCCGGTGGAAGAGGCCCAGAAGATGCGTTTTGCATTACTGGAGCCTCTCTGGTGCTACCAAACGCCAGAACAGCCACTGTGCACATCCGTTTATTCGCGAAACTTACCAAGCCATATCCATTGTGTCTTCTCGTGGGACGAGCTTTTGCATTGTTCTCGTTATTGGCCGAGAAGCTTCTCATGAGTGTCGCATTGTACAATCACAGCTATTGATGCAAGTAGACAGTCTGTATCTAATCGAAAGTGCAGTATTGCCATCACAATTCTTTTATTACATGTTAAACTACTCACATGTGTTTGGGGTCACGTTTTCGTTCTCGGAAATAATAGAAATGCGTCTTCTCTTAGGCAAATTTCTTGACGCCCGAGGTGGTGGAGTTCTTACCGAGCGCAGAGTTGTCACATTAATTTCTTTCGTTACTTCACATCCAAATTGTAAACGTCTTCGGACGCCAGAAGTTGTCTGATGCTCCTCTACATTTTCTCACCCTCTGCTACGCCGACTTCGGGCAAAATCATGGCACCGCTTGCAACCAGTCTCCGTTCTATATTGCCTAGACCGTACCAATGGCAAACGCGATGTGAACCATACCCCTCAATATCGTTGTCTGGCGCGTAAGACTGTTGTTCATTAATTGTCAGTGCTCGACCGCAGATTGCATGTATATCACTTTTACAGTACACACATGTATTAGCAGGCGGATCTGAAATGGCCCCACCATCGTCTTTGCACTGGCACAATCCGTGTGAGTAGTTTACACAAATACGCATTTCGAACCAGTGCTGCCCTGTGACATAAATCAGGTCTGCATGACCAAAACGTAGACAGGCAAACCGTGCGCACAACTTCAAAACATTAGCGACCGAAAAATCGGTGGATCCTTCGATAAATGCGAAGGGTTATTACGCCCCAAAGACGTAGAGACCAGATAGAGGGCGTCGCAATGGAGAAAGATCTGGAATGGAAACGTAGTTAGTATGGGAGATGGTGGCCAGCACTGTGAGGAGGGACGCGCAGTAGCCACGATGTAACGCGGACGGGGCGGCAGGACAAGCAGCAAAAGAAATATGGATGGAGCGTCGGGGAGTCCGGATGCACATAAATGAAAACCGATCACGGGCGGGACGGATGGCAGGTGCAGGTGAGCATGGGAGGGAATGAGGGCAGAGAAATAAGAACGGGGTGGAGAGGAAGGGAAAGAAATGGCGAAGGGGAGGGAAGAAAGTAGGGGATGAATGGTAGTTGTCCCGCAGGGAGACAGCCAAATTCTGCCGTCTTCCTTTCTCGAACGGGGCAGAAAAACTGCCAGGTTGAATGGCCCTGAAAGTGGCAAGCCAATTTGAAAGAGCAACGTGGGCGTTCTACATAAATGGTAATGAAGGAGGGACGATGCACGTATATGAAGAGAATTGGCCACTGTAGTGTAATGAGTCTTACTTTCACAATACATGAAAGAGTTTTTCCATCTGGAAGAGATTTCTTCCATTTTGCAGTTCAGAAATTCCGCACTTGCAAGTATTCCACGTCGGTACATCCAAATTTCGCATACATGGAAGAGGTCTATTCCATGTATTGGTTGAGGGTTAAGTACAGTGCACCGCCCTGCGTTGCGCTGGAAGGAGGGTTGTGTGAACCCTAAATGATGCATTGAATTTTTACACCAAATTCTAGACCAAATTTTAGAATAATTTCGGAGCGATTCTAGATGTGTTCGCGCGGGCTTCCATGTGGAAGCTCGGCGGCTATGCAAGTGAGAGAGAAAAGGTGGAAGCACGGGTAGGCAGACAGAGGTACAGACAGATTACGACAGAAAGGGAGAGGAAAACAATAAACAGACCACTGACCCCTTTCCAAACAACAAGTACTTTGTTCTTGCTCAATATACCACTGCCAAATTGCTACCCCTTTCCATAACTTTCTGTGGTGCCTGCCCGAGAAAGTGTGAAGGGAGAGTGAAATTCTCTGCCCCCTCTTTATTGTATGAAGATCTGACTTCGTCTTAAGTATACGAGGGAGAGAGAAAAAGGATAAACTAAAAACCATATCCGTAATGATGCCTAAAATGGCAACTGGCAAGATGCCATGCCTGTAGGGAAATGTTGCCTAAAATGGGACCAGGTAGGTGGTGGCAAAGTGCCACTATAGTCCCCTCTTCCAAGAAGCAGCTTTGCTTTCACGAGCTGCTGCTGCTAGTTCCTGATTTGCAAAGCTTTGAAGGAACTGCTCGAGCATCTCTGGGATATCCTGTCGTATGGTAACAAAAGGTTCCCACGTTGGCTGCTCACGTGTAAAGCCCCTCCATTTGCAGTTGACTTCGAACTGCTTCGTCTCGGCGTTGAAGCGTAAACCTAGAATTTTCGTCACTGTATTGTAGTGCGGGTCGTTGTGATCTATTGTGTCCAAAAGGATTTCAGATAACTCGAGTGTAGAGTCGGCATAGAACTTCAGACGACTAACATGAACCAAAGCATGCGAGGCATCCAGCAGATCCTCGACTTCGTACACCAGAGCGGACTCACAGCGTACAACACGGCGAGGACCTTTCCAGCGTACTCTGAGCTTGCTACCCGACTTACCCTCAGAGTCGGCGACGAGAACAAAGTCGCTGACATCGAAATTGACTTCGCGAACACCCGTGCGTTTGTTGTGACTTTTAAGTGCCTGTTGACGCTTGCGGGTCCTTGTTTCAGAAACATTACGATGAAGTTCGTCTAGGGCTTTGATCAAGGAATCAGTGTGAACTAGCTTCTGAGCTTTCACAAAATCCAGGGAGACTGGAGTGGCTGGGGCTGGTGGTAAGAGTGTTCGCAGAGGGTTGTCAGCCGGTAGACCCGTGAATACAGTGACGGGGGCGCGGTTTCCCAGGCTTGGGCGAATCGAGTGATTAAGAATGCTTTGAACCAGACGAATAACTGATGGCCATTCCACAAGCTTGAGACGGAACTCAGAAATCAACGCCCTGGCTGCGCGTAGAACATCCTTGCACATAGATTCTACAGTTCCATTGGACTGTGGGTGATAAGGAGTTGTAAAATGGTGAAAGGCATGGAGCTCTCGATTGAGCAGAGACATTGTCTGGTTCTTGAAATGAGAGCCTTGGTCCGATACCCAGGTGAGCACAACACCGAAAGAGGCAAACCAACGTAGTAAGACATCCACAACAGCTTCTGCGTCAGCCGTAGCACACGGTTCAAGCCAAACAAAGGATGAGGCGTCATCCTTTATGATAAGACAGTAGGTGACATTGGTGATACTGTCGCCAAGATATAGGAAGTCGAAATGTATCAGCTCGTTGGGTTTTTCAGCATGAAGCGCGTGCGAGAGTGTGCGAGGGATCCTAAGGCCCCCGATAGTAGACGAACAGTGCAAACAAGTGTTGCAAAAAACGGAGATGTCGGTCCGCATATGCTCCCAGAAAAAGTAGCCGTGCACATTGGCAAAGGTTGCATCAGTACCGCGATGACCACCACGGCCACAATGACCAATTATGCATAGTCTAAGCTGCATTTGAGTGGCTGTGACTGGAATCCAAATCAACCCTGAACGGTTGACTCGTAGTCCATGAGAGTTTTTCCCAGAGGGGGGAATTTCCCCAGCCTCATCAGGAGGAGAATTGCTATCCAAACGTTGGACTTCTGCAAGATCATGGTGGGTCGGCCATGTGAGATCTGGTTGGAGGTGCGGGGCGACAGGCGCACGCATCAGGGACGCCAATTTGGGAGGGAGACGTACAAAATCCGTGGCGCCCCAGCGAGATAGAAGGTCGGCCCAAACATTGTCGTCTCCAGCAATGTGCATGATGTTGTAGCGGAAAGCCGCGAGCTTCATTGACCATCGTTCTATTTTTGCTGGCCACGTGTTTCGCAATGTTTGGAGTGACGGTGAACGGGTTGAAAATGAAAGTCAAATTCTTGTGGTCTGTAAAAAGCCAAAAGCCCGAGGGTCGAAGCAGGATGTAGTCCAAACGCGTGACCGACTCGACAATCGCAAAGCCTTCTTTTTCAGGAGTAGACCAGCTAGCAGCGCTTTTGCGGAACGAACCAGACAAGAAAGAAAGCGGTTCGTGACGTTGATCAACACAAGGAAGATCCTTGTCTTCAGGAGGGATCTGTGTGAGTACCGCTGCCCAATGCTTATTGGAAGCGTCTGTAAAAAGACACAATATTTTTGAGTCATCGGGATGCGCAAGAGTGGCTACGTCATGTAGTGCTTGTTTGACCGAGCGGAAACAGGATAGGTGGTCAGTATTCCAAGAGGTGCGGTGCAAAGCAATTTTCTGGGCACATTTGCGTGTGCGTTTGCCGGCCTTATCATACACTTCTTCCAATAGCGACGCGAGGGGTTCAATCAGTTGATTAAATTGTGGAATGGAGGACCGCATCCAGTTCGCAGCGCAGACAAACTGCTGCAATTCGGCACCGTTTGTGGGCTCCGTAATTG